CAATGCATTCTGAGAGTACAGCTGTGTTTTCTGGACTGTATTCTCTTTTCCTCCTCATGCAATATTTGTTTCCTAAGGGAGAAAAACAACAGATCAATTTTGCTCCATTATGTTCACTGCACATTTTTAGAGATTCCTTACAAAATTCACTGTGCTGTTCCACCCTGTTTATCTGAAAGGTTACAGGAACTTCAAGCATCATTAGATCCTTGACAGAAATTCTTTTTGCTTGCAATTTACCATCCCTGCTTGGAGAAAAGCCTGCAATCTAAGGCAGATGAGCTGCCCTGGAGCTCGTTAGCTGTGTGAGTCTCTGCCCTCTGTGCAGATCAAAGCAGCAGCTCACCCAGGGCTTCCTGAAGTCTCCCCACCCATGCCCTGCTACAGCACAGCCTCACTTTGCTACCCATGATCTGCTCCACACTGTGCTTCCAGCTTTTGCCAACACCAAAGCCCCAGTGGGGAAACCTTTGCTTCTCCTCTTCATACGTTCAAGATGCATGTTTTCCATGAAAGCATCCTGAACCCAAATGGATGTCATAAAACTGTAGGGGTTGGCAGGGTCCTCTAGAGATCATGCTCTGCTGTAGCTGCAGGGAATAAGCCCAATGCCTCTGCTGAAATTAACAGGTCCTATTTTGCCATTGATTCCTCACACTGCCTCAGTCCTTCTGCTTTAATGGCACTCCCTCAGGCATGTCCTGCTCTTCAGCTTGTGTTCGTGCAGCATTTTCCACGGGCAGCCTGTGAGTGGCCTTCTGGACACTGTCACACTGCAACAAGTGCTGGGGGCTGCATCCCGCTGCTGTGGCTTCAAGCACCACTTCACCCTTCAAACAAAGGTGAACAGCTTGAAAACACTGCGGTTTATCATTTCTTCTGCTTGGCCAGAGAATGTCACTGAAATAAGTTTCCCATTTCTTTGTAATATGTTCTTAACAGAGAGCACTCAGGCATTAAGATCACTGGCTACCATGGACTAAAATACCTCCTGTTTTTCATGTGGGGAGAAGTGACCTTAAAAAACTTGTGCATCCATTCAATCCTTCACTGCGACACAGCCAAAACAGCATTTAACCCGAAGGAAGCATTTAACCTGACACCAGAAGGCAGACCAACAAAAAAACTTTCAAAAAGTTATACCATAACTATATTTAACTTGAGAAATGAACTAAAAACCTTGGAAGCCCACAGAAATGTCATGAGACCCAAAGGGATCAGTGCCTGCATCAAGTCCTGACTCCACCTGGAATGGGTCAGGCTCCCCACATCTTGTTTTTCCTATTTCCATCATCAGGATGTGGAATGTTCCTCTGCCCTCTAAGGGATGATCTGAAAAAAATCCAGGCGAGGTCTTTGATTGCCAAATGAAGAGTGCTGGCCAACGAGCACAGCTTCTTGCAGTCATCCTGCTCATGTGACAAGAGCATCCCTTCAGCACAAGGCCAGGTGACCAGGTTGCTCCAACCCCATCCACGTGGCAGAGATTTGCTCTGGGGCTGAGCACCTCTGAAGTGTAAGGATCACCCCTGGAATCTGCTGCTCAACCAGCACTGACTCAAGCTGCAAGCCCCAGGCAGCAGCACTTTTGTCCAACGGATGCCAATGAGATGTATTACTCATCCCAGGAGCAGGCGGGATTGGGATTTGTGCCCTGAGGGCAGCAGTCACCTAGCAACTCTGAGAGGCTCTGCCGTGCTCCTGACACATCTTTGACAGCAGCACTGAATCCTTTCAAGTCACTGTTAGAAACCGAGAAGAAACACAAGAGAAATTGATAGGTTGAGTCTTGTTACAGGGTGAACTTGCATTGCTCCTCAGGCTTCATGGATTCCTCCTGAGCTCTTGCTCCCAGCCAAGGTGATGGAGGAGGGAAAAGTGAGGCACTGGCAGCATCACTCCCTCATCCTACAGCCCACGGCTGGGACCAGCCCTTGGAGAAGGCAGAACTGGAAAGGCATGAATGGCTCCAACCAGCCCCCTGAGGCCCTCAGCATCCTTGGGAAGGCAGAAAGGTGAAGGCGCTGCCTCTCGGCTTTGGAAGGCACTCAGCAATGCTGCTCTGCACAGATGGGCACAGATCCTGTGCTGTCCATGTTTTGGTGGCTGGGTTGAGTCAGCTGTGCTGAGGACTTATCCAAATGCCTTCTTGGATGGAACCCAGCCACATAAATAGACTACGCCACCCTTTTTGGAATCGTTTATTTTTTAATTTTCCTTTTCAAAATGTTCCTTGCAGTTGGCTCCCACCCTCATCTATAATTCTTACAGCAACACTCTGGGGCAAACAAACAAACAAACAACAAAGCTCAATTTTATGACAGCCCAGCGAAAGACCTTACCTTGCTCTGTACCTAGAAAGGATGATGCAACCACAGCCAGCCCCAGCAGAGCTCCCACCAGCAGGGGCAATGCCCCCTGCTGCCTTGTGAAACAGTGTGGAACACTTTGCAAAACACAGGTTGTCCTCGACCTGCCTAATAACCATGACTAAGCTGATGAATTCAAGCTTCTAAAGACCTATGTTTCATAAACCCATTTGTTTCATCCCTAGCGCTGAATTCCTCATCAATTGAATTCTCTTTCACCTGTTACATCATTTTGTTCACAATTACTAGCTTGCATTTATCCCAGATATAATAACAGCCTTTTTAAAATACAAACTAGCCTTTTCCCAGCTTTTCTGGTGCTGATTAAAAATGAACATCTGCAGACCTCAGCCTTCTGCACCAGCTCTTCTGAGACTCTCCAGCACGCGTTACATAGACACTGATTTCTAAGTGTACCCCCTGACAACACAGACATAATTTACTACTCCACTGATTAAAGACGGGTTGGGAAAGATTGCACTGCCCATTAGAGACACAAAGCACATCATTCTGTCTTTCCAAATGCCACAAAGAAACACTGACCGAAGATGATTGCATGGATTGAACCACTCCACGCACTGACAAACCCACCAGCTGGAACCATTTTTTTCCTTCTGTTCAAAGATATTTAAAGATCTTTTTTGTGCTTCCTCTTGACAACCACAGTTTCCACACTCTTATAAAAATTGTCCTCATGACTTATGAACTTCATAATTCCTGATACGCATCATTTGGTATCAAGCTCCTTTTGCAAACTACTGCTTTTCTCATATCATTTATACCTACACTGGCTAGGCTCCTAAGACTGGGAGGCAAAGACTTCCTCACGATGAATTCCAAGGGCTTGTCCATCATCCATGATGAACTCTCCTCAAAATCCCCTACATGCACGCCCTTTTTCTGCCCTTATCTCCCATCCACTTCCAAGTGCAGCCACCCCAGCATTCCTTTGGCCTTTTGAAAGCTGCCATAGGACTGTATGGCTGTGACAGGGATGGAAACACAGATGAAGCTGCCCTTTTCAGCCCCTATTGGATGCAATCAGGCTGTGATCAGCAGTTCCTAGGCAACCACAAAATTCCTGTCCAGCAAGGTCCAGAATAGGCTTGGGGATTGTTTTGGCCAAAATGCCTTTTGTGATAGAAAACTATTAGATATCGTTATGAGAAATCCTTATGACATTTTACTTACCAGATTTTAGATAGCAGCTTCCAGAAGTCATTCTCAGCACATCTGCAATGACAGCAATTTGCTTTTTGCACATCATCAGGCAGCTGTGGGCCACAGGACCCCTTCCTGCCACATGGGGGTTCGTTATGTAAGCACAGGTCCACACTCCTCCTTTGCTCTGCCAGCACAGAGAAAATCTCACTTATCTCTCTTATAATTCTGCAGACAGAAATAAATATTAATGTGAAAATTTTCTGGCAAAAAAGGGAAGGGAAGGGAAGGGAAGGGAAGGGAAGGGAAGGGAAGGGA